TTCAGGTAGACGAAATAGAAGAAGCAGAACGAAAGAAAGCAAAAGATGTGTCCCACACCGGGACTCGAATGCTGGGTGAGAGCCAGCTATCCTAACCGCCTAGACTATATGGGAAGGCTGCACAATGAAACCGTACTCAAAATAACAAACCCAACGCAAATACACACACGCACAACCACTGCAGCCACGCCCCAAACGCACGCTTCAGACGCACTCGCCATCCTTCCAAGCGCTCTCACGGATACGACTCCGCTCATTGCCTTTGCCGAGCCGCATAAACTCATCGACGCTATTCATCGTCTCATCGGGACGACGTATTTATTACACGCTGCTCGAGGCCACCTTGCCGTCCTTTGGTTCGGTTCAGCCGGTTGACGCTAGTGGGCGTCCGTGGAAAGGTCATTGCTGATGACAGTGGCGACACTCCACCGTGAAAAGGCCCAGACGGTAGGTTTGGCATTACCAATGCAGGAGCGTAGGGACTCGCAGGCGGAACTTACCGAGTGACTGCGACGTGCTTGTTGTAATCTCGCTGAGAAAGCGTGCAAAGTAGACGAAATAGAAGAAGCAGAAAGAAAGAAAAGCAAAAGATGTTCCCACACCGGGACTCGAACCCGGATCTGCTGGGTGAGAGCCAGCTATCCTAACCGCCTAGACTATATGGGAAGGCTGCACAATGAAACCGTACTCAAAATAACAAACCCAACGCAAATACACACACGCACAACCACTGCAGCCACGCCCCAAACGCACGCTTCAGACGCACTCGCCATCCTTCCAAGCGCTCTCACGGATACGACTCCGCTCATTGCCTTTGCCGAGCCGCATAAACTCATCGACGCTATTCATCGTCTCATCGGGACGACGTATTTATTACACGCTGCTCGAGGCCACATTGCCGTCTTTTGGCTCGTTTCAGCCGGTTGACGCTAGTGGGCGTCCGAGGAAAGGTCATTGCTGATGACAGTGGCGACACTCCACCGTGAAAAGGCCCAGACGGTAGGTTTGGCATTACCACATGCAGGAGCGTAGGGACTCGCAGGCGGAACTTACCGAGTGACTGCGACGTGCTTGTTGTAATCTCGCTGAGAAAGCGTGCGAGGTAGACGAAATAGAAGAAGCAGAAAGAAAGAAAAGCAAAAGATGTTCCCACACCGGGACTCAAACCCGGATCTGCTGGGTGAGAGCCAGCTATCCTAACCGCCTAGACTATATGGGAAGGCTGCACAATGAAACCGTACTCAAAATAACAAACCCAACGCAAATACACACACGCACAACCACTGCAACCACTGCAGCCACGCCCCAAACGCACGCTTCATACGCACTCGCCATCCTTCCAAGCGCTCTCACGGATACGACTCCGCTCATTGCCTTTGCCGAGCCGCATAAACTCATCGACGCTATTCATCGTCTCATCGGGACGACGTATTTATTACACGCTGCTCGAGGCCACCTTGCCGTCCTTTGGTTCGGTTCAGCCGGTTGACGCTAGTGGGCGTCCGAGGAAAGGTCATTGCTGATGACAGTGGCGACACTCCACCGTGAAAAGGCCCAGACGGTAGGTTTGGCATTACCACATGCAGGAGCGTAGGGACTCGCAGGCGGAACTTACCGAGTGACTGCGACGTGCTTGTTGTAATCTCGCTGAGAAAGCGTGCGAGGTAGACGAAATAGAAGAAGCAGAAAGAAAGAAAAGCAAAAGATGTTCCCACACCGGGGACTCGAACCCGGATCTGCTGGGTTGAGAGCCAGCTATCCTAGCCGCCTAGACTATATGGGAAGG